CTATGACTTGTCTTAGATTATAGGCTAATCCAAAAATAGATTGAGCTACTACAAACCTATGAGGTCGAAGGCACTACTCTTTTAATTTTTTTCATTAAATGATTTATTTCTTTGTGTGTGGAGGCTGGGCTGTGTGACCTTGAGCTAAGCTGTACATCATATGAAGCATCCCTAATCTTGAAATCTTTCTGAGTCGAGCACTTAAAGTTTGGATGGCCCAATCAACTACTATTTGGAAAAGGAGTCCAAATATGATCCTTATTCCCAACATCAAAAAAGATTTTGGGCTTCATTTTACCAAGAAAATGCATTTTGGAATAGTAAAATGTTGGAGAATTTAAGGTTGGAAAATAAGGAAAAATTTTGAATTTGAGTGTAAAATTATTTTAAGGAAGAATATGTGGTTGAAAATTAGCGTTGCAAAAATGAATTTTGAGAATAATGGGGTTCAAACGGGTGCTAAAACATGCCTTCCACAAGAAAATATAAAAAGAGAGAAAAGGGGGATCAAAATCAACTATTTTGATACCAGATAATAAATTATTGAAAAATATATATTTTTTTTCTAATAATAACAGGAAGGGCATTTTCAGAATGCTGTTGAGGCAATTGTCAATTGTTGATACGTTTATCTTGATAAGCTCGACTCGATTGTATAAAATTAAGTTCTTGATTGATTCGGCTAAAAAATTATATTTTTAATAGATTTTGATGTGAATAGTAGAAAAAAGTTGTGAACTTTGTGTAATATGTAATTGAAAATGAATTTGTAGTTAATAAATATAGAGGTGTATGTCAATTGTCACATCACATGACCTTTCTCGAAGATTGAAGATTATTCTATGCAATAAAAGGCTTAATTGGTATATTTCTAAGATGTTCGCATTTACATTTGAAAGATTATTTTGTAATATTTAGTAAGTTAGGTTTGAAGTAGGTAGAATTTGAGAAAATATTATATAAATTGTCTCACATAAGGTACACGTCTCCATTACTTAAATTGACATAGGTAAAGAATACTTAAAGATGCAAGACAACTCTCTCGAAAAAAACTCAACAAAATAGTCCCATAACTTCAGGAGAATGGTGCCTCATCGCAAATGGGAAATACTATTAAAGGAATCTAATGCATTTGAAAAAAAAATTCAATTATGAGCGGCATTGGATTAACCAAGCAGCAAACCCAAAAACCAATCACCCAATAATGAATAAAGGAAATATATTTGGTGGTTAATGAACAAAAAATCGCAATATGTTCCCATCTTTCAAATGAAACTATTTATGGTACAATAAAACGTTCATGTGATACGTTGTTGCTGATCTAGAATCTACATCAGATCAGTTAAATGGTCCATCTTGATTTGATTAAAGAGCCTTTTTTGTCAAAGAGCCGGATAGGTCAGCTTGGAATACTAACTCAAGCTCTATCAATACATGTTG